TCTCTCTCTCTCTCTCATATCGCCCTCGATTCGCTTCATAATCCCGATTCGCTCTCTTTCAAATATTTAAATTACAAATATTTACCGATGTCGCGAAACTCTAGTTTCTGACTGAATGTGCGATTGAAAACAAATGAAATGATTTGACAGGCGATATTATTATCATCGGACGGCCGTTTATTGCGATTTATTGAAATACATGCCCGTGCGTGGGGAAAATGAAGTTTAAACGAATCCCATTTCCACGATATCGTGTTTTCTACTACGACCGACGCTGTACAGGAGGGTGCAAGTTGAAAGCTTAATAAAAATAAAAAATACCGCCAGGAAAAGGGAAGAGAAAAAGAGAAGAAGAACGAGACGAAGAAAAATCAGAGACGGAAAGGCTTACTAATGCTCCCTCGTAGCTCCGGTGAATGTCGCTTGGTCTCCGAGGATGTAATTTTCGCTGTATGCCCGGATTAGAAGCCAGCTCGTCGGGGGCTCCTCCACGTTACGCCGCTTGATAAGTATTGCCCCGTACCTCTTGAATACACTAGAACTGGAAAAGGGATTCGAGATGATCTCAAAGCGATCGATTGGCCTCGACGTGACGTCACGGGTCACGGCGATAGGCAGCTGTTATGTCCCGTTAAGAATCCAGGTACTATAATAGCGCGGATTAATGATAAGAGCATAAGGGCAGAACAGCCGTGTAACTTGCTGGAACGTAAAAGCTATTATTACGATACCTGTCGTTGCTGTTTCAACGAGATTGAGTTTGCTTAATGTCTCGAGAGAAAAAGCTCCATCGACTTTTCCAAAGACCTAGATCTTTAAGAAACCAATATCGATACACACGTTTATATATAAATTTATCTACATTTAACATGCGTGTACACAAGTTCTGAAACGCGACCAACGAATAAGGTATTTTACTTTTAAAGATATTGAAACATTTTTCAATCTTGCAGATACCATGTGCCCCGGTGAAACCGATATCTATTTAAAGTATAAAAATTGCTGATGGAAAGAGTGGATTACGCGAGCTCACCGTATTTGAGAAGAGGAAGGACAAAACTTTTCCTAGGGTGGATACACATTTCTTAAAATCAAGTAAGCGGATCATTGGAAAATTCGGTAAAAAAAATCCCGAGAAAACATGCACCAATGAAGAAGGTATTCTTTCTCTATTCTTGCTTTTTAATTTCATATAATGTCGTAAAAATAAATGTGTAATTTCAGTTGCAAAGATGTCGATAGTTTAGATATCCTTTTAACACTAGAATTATTAAAATGGCCATTTGAATATTTTTGTTTAATATTTTATAGATACAAAAAAGTGTATTTTTGTAGTTGTTATTGTACAAATAAAAACTTGTGTACTCTATTGTATACAGACATTTTCTGTTTCTTTTACTTTAATATCTCTGATGGAAATTTTATACTAGTCATCGGTGGTTCTAGTGTTAACTAAAGGATATAAAAAACACGTTCAGTAAATATTTATTATTTAATTCATGATATTCTTTTATTTATATCTTAATACTAACATTGTCATATTACGCATACCTGATAAAATGAGAAACTTTCAATAGTGCATAGTTTTAATACCTGCTGTTCCAATTCGATATATGTATCATTGTAAAATTGATACTGGTAATGCAATAATATTCTAATTATATTGTATTTCAAACAAATTTGCAATTTATTTTCCTTGTCCGAAATGCTGCTACGACATTCATAGATATGCCACCGATTTTTTTTTTTTCAATGATGTTACAATGCATTATTTAAGTGCGTTTTATTCACATATGTAGTTAAACTTGCATCGGCTTTGGCATTCTGGAGGGTGCAGATGTTCGTGGTAATTGAACACACTCAGCTAATGACCGTACCTGAAACGAACATAAAAATTATTTGAAAAATAGTATATCTCAAGGAGAAGCTGTAGTAAATATAGGAAAATCTTTTATGCTTTCTCTACAAATACACAAATAATTTTCAGAAGCTTTAAGAAGCCAGTAGTGTATTGCTGTTTGTTGTAAGGTATACTCACTTTTGGAACTCCCATTCTCGATTGTCAAGTGGGCAAACTTGTCGAGTCTTCAACCAACGCGAGATGCAATGGAAATGGAATGCATGCTATGCAAAAAAGAAAATGTCAAAAAATTAAAATAAAAGAGTTAAAATATTTTGTTTCTGCGATTTATACTAAATGTGTATTGAAACAAAATGCTGTAGTAATAGAATCCATACATTGCATACACCCCATGCTACAGTACATTCCTCGCTAGTGGCTGATGCTTGATTTGCTTGACACTCAATACACAAGTCCATTATATGATTACGACAGATCGCACAGTTATCTACTACAATATCTGCAAAATAATAAATTTTACAATTATTGATAATATCCACTGAAAGACGTATTACAATAACCATGTTACTTTTTTATATTAAATTATGCATATAATGTAATTTTCGAATACGTACCCCATGCCCAAAGAGCCACAGCATTCCACTGCAATAAAAAATTTTGTTAACTTTCAGTTAAATATTACATATAAACCATGTGAATATAATAGAAATGACAAAACAAAATTGAGGTTAGAATTCACAGATCAATTTCTTAAAATCAAAGAAATTTACACATAATTTATGAAACATTTTTCCAATTTCTTTTTCTCACCTTTTTTACTTCAAAACGTTTTTTCTCTCCTTTACTACTGCTCGAAGTTGGTAAATCACTTTCTTCATCGTCAATTTCCATTGCCGACGCCATATTTAAATTTTGATTCATAAGCCAACTGACACCTTGTGTTAGAGATTCGAAGTACGATGAACGACCGTTTCGAAGTACAAGTTTTCTTAATTATTAAACATTTTGTGCGCGCCATAAGTTGTTGTACTGTACAAACATTAATACTTTGATTCCGTATTGAGAACAATGTTTAAGAAACAAATATCTACTGTAGAAAAGAGATGTAATATTGTGCCATCGTATCGATACAGGTTATGTTTCCCGTAGATATACTCGTAACGATACTCGAAAAAATATGACAGTTATCTCGATCGTTTAATAACTAGATAAGAGCATTTTAATATAGTTTATAATTGTGCTCTTGTAATTCATAATCCGATATAAAATATATCACAAGATGAGGCGGAAGGCAGGCGTTGGTGCTATTCAAAAACAAAAGCTGGAACAAGAAAAATACAAAGATAAGGGAACTGAGATTCAAGAAAATCAGTTTGAGCAAATGACAAAACAAATGGAAACTTTCCGGGTAAATTTAGAGGAATTCGCCTCAAAGTATAAAAACGAAATTAAAAAGAATGCCCGCTTTCGACGGCAATTCACTGAAATGTGTGCATCAATAGGTGTAGATCCTTTAGCCTCAGGTAAAGGGTTTTGGTCGGTTCTTGGTATAGGAGACTTTTATTATGAACTTGCTGTACAAATTGTTGAAGTTTGTATGGCTACAAATTATAAAAATGGCGGATTAATATCATTGGATGAGCTTAGAACAAGATTGATACAAGCTAGAGGTCGTAGAAAAGAACATCAGGAGATTACAAATGAAGATTTATTAGCTGCAGCCAAAAAATTACGAATTTTTGGAAATGGATTTTCTATTGTACCAATTGGCAGAGGCAAACATTTAGTACAATCTATTCCTGGTGAACTGAGTATGGACCATACTGCTGTCTTACAACAAGCTAGTTTATCCGGAAATGCATATATTTCAAGATCTATGCTCTGCAAGGAATTAAAATGGGAACCAGGTAGGACACAGAAAGCCTTGGATCATATGGTAAAAGAAGGACTGGCATGGCTAGATGAACAAGGTGAAAATGAAACATTATATTGGTTTCCTAGTTTATTTACAGCCTGCATTGTATCCAAAGAGTAAGCACTATATTGACTTTACTATAAATAGATAGATGGTGTTTAAAAAAAAAAGAAAGATAGTATAGAATGTAGTATAAAATGTATTTTTAATGTGAATAAATTTACATATTCTTATAATATTTACACAGTCAAATATCCATTTTTAGATAAAGGAAAATATTTTCATCTAATTTCATTTGGTTCATTAAATCTGAAACAAATTACTTAGAATTAGATTAAAATATTTTATTATTACATTATACATTAAAATATCTTATTATTACAGTAAACACAAACCTTTGTATATCTTCAATTGCATGTTGTGCTAATTGTTGTTTACAGATTAATAATTCTGTATTTAATTCATTATTTTCCTTCTGTAAGTTACTTATTTTTCCTCTCAGTTCTTTAGATTTTCCATGAAATTTAACTGTCAAAGATTTTGCTTCATCTCTCCACCTAAAATATAGAGATAAAGATATCAAGATAATTTCTCATTTATTATCATAAAAAAATTTGCATACTTTTTGCTTAGTTTCTGATGTACTTGAACATGACTGATTAATTCCTTTGTTTTTCTGTCAAATTTCTCCTGCAGTTTATTCATGTGATCTGATAATGCAGACTGACAGCAATGACATTTATTTTCAACTCTGTAATAGAAATATTTCTTATAATATGTTTTGACTTAATAAATGCTTGCATTTACTTACGTGATATCGAAACTAGGTTTGTTTTTCAGATACGGATTTATTTCATCAGTAATACCATCTTTAAATTTATTATCCTTTATGCAAGTTGCTTTGTGAAGGTTAACTTCTAGGTCTTGAATTTTAGTTTCAAGAGAATGTCTTTCATTATCCCTTTTTTGTATTTCGTATTCAAAATCATTTTTCAATGATTTTAATTGTAATACAAGATTCTCTTTATCACCCAATGTTTTAGCTAATTGATTTTCTAAATCCGAATATTGTTTCATTACATCTCTATTTTCACGAGCAGATATTTTTGCCTGATCTTGTATATTATTGGTTTGTTGATGGTCTAGCTTTTGTAATTTATCATTTGAAGCACCTAGTTTACCTTCGAGAATAATAATCTTTTCTTTTAATTGTTTGATTTCTATATCATATTTGTTTTTTGCTATTGTTTCATCATATACTTGTAGCTGAAGTTCCATACGTTTGGCTTTCTGTTCATACTCTAAAACTTTTATACTTGAATCTCTACGTATTTTGTTTAATTCTTCTTCAATAAATTTTAATTCTCTTTGAGCTTTTTCCGCTACAATTGTTTTTGTCTTCAGTTCTGCATTAAGTTCATTGATCTCTGTTAAGTATTTTTTTGTATTTAATTCAATCTCATCTCTTATTTTCTTATTCAATTCCTGTATTTTTACGTCATATTCATTAGCTATTACATTTAGTCTCTGTTCCAATCGGGCTTTTTCTTCCAGTACAAGAGATTCACGTTGAAGGGCCAAATCTTTTTCTATAACTGCAGATTGTATCAATTCAAGAGTTTCTGCCATCCTAATTTTTATTTCTTCGTATTTTTTCATTACATTTTCAGTATATGTTTTAGCTTCAATTAATTCTTTTTCTAATTCCAATTTTGCTTGTAGTATTTTATCAATTTCCATTTTAGCATGAGCTAATTCTTGTTTTAATGTCTCTATTGTTATCTGGTTGTTCCTGTCTTTTAAACAATAAACTAATGTTTCCATCTATTATTGTAAATTATAAATATATGTTACTGACCTTTATCCTGAGCACTTGTTTGAAGATTTCTACATTTTTCCAAAAGTTCATCCTTTTTTCTAGTCAAATTATTAATTGTTTCTTTACTATTTTCATACAATGTCTGATGTTGGATAAAATTATTTCTGGCAAGTGCAAGCTTTTCCTCTAACTTTTGAATAACTTTTGAATAACTTTCCTTAATAACATTTGCTTGTTCTTGATAAAATTTTGTCTCTTTTTCATCTACATGAAATCCTTTTAATTGATCCTCTAAGGCACTTACAGTATCCAGAGAAATATGCCATAGTTGCAAAGCTGAATCCTTTTCTGTTTCTAACAGCATAATGCGCTCTTGTAAATTTTTCATTTCCTTTTTATGTGCATTTTCATCACCACATTCTTTTAAATGAATAGAATTCAAGGATTCTTTTATATCATTAATTTTTTGATTCTCATTTCGCAGAATTTCTAATTCAGTCCGTATATTATGTTGTTCTATCTAGAAAATGAATATGTAATCAATATTTCTAAATATATTTGATATACGATTGATTGTATACAAACAATATACCTTGCACAACTGCAAATCTTGTTTAAGATTTTCCACAATTCCATGTTGTTCTTCAAGCAACGTATCTTGTTCGCTGTTTTTAATAAGAAAAAAAAATTAAGAAGGAAAATAAGGAAACAAAACAAAGAATAGGAAGATATATAACCTTAAAACTAACCTTTGTTTCTGAGTATCATCATACTCTGTATTGAGCATTTTATCGCTAGAATGATTTATGTTTTGCAATATTACATTGCGCCAAGAAATATAATGGAAAATATATTGTACATTTAATTTATATTTGCAGTGTTTCGTGAGATATTTCAAGCAACATCATTCAAGTCCGACTTGTAAACATCAACAATATTTCTTTTTACCGATAGCGCATAAATGCGCATGCATTCAACAGAACTTGAGAAAGGTACATAAAATTTTAGTATTTTGCAGTGTATAAATTAAAGCACTGCAATAAAATCGTACGTTAAAAATTGATTTTACGTTCATTTGTAAAACTTTGTCAGTTATAAAGCATAAAATTAAAGTGATAAAACACGACGACGCAAACAGATAATACCGACTGAAGATAATTTGTAAAGCGGCAAATTTAATTTATCATTCACCGGCA